AAAAATATTTTTTTTATGCTTTTAAATTTACAAATGTTAAATAAAACTTAATATTTAATTTACAGATTATTAGGCAAACATTCTTAACTAATTTTCAAGGGGTTGACTCCTAACCTTTTTTATTTTTTATTTTTCCTTTTTTTTTTTTATAAAAAAAATATTCAAGTATTGCTACAAAAATACGATGGACGTTCAACTTCATAATATACACGATATAATTTAGTACAATATTGATAGTCCAAGAGATATGGATAAAACACATGATATAGAAACAATTAAGATATAAATTATATCAATACAATACATATTCTCTCCGTCTCATAACAAAATATCCGTTTTTCCATTTTAGTCTGTCCCATAACAAAATATCCATTTCGTTTTTTTTTTTAAAGTAACTGTACTATCTACCTAACATTACAAATACCCTTACAACTTATAATATATTACACAAATGTCATTACTTTTATATCACACATACTAATAAAATTATTTTAGTCATTTCTATTTTATTCCTAAACTACGTGTAAAAAGCAAATAGATATTTACTTATGGGACGGAGGGAGTATTAAAATAATACAAATACAATCTTACATAATATAGGGCCAAAACACACTATAGAGACAAACTACAAGTGAATTAAATTAACAATACCATAACATGGTCCTACACAACATATGTTACAATTAGTTTTAGTACAAAAAGTATATATATTCATACAACACAAATACATCATTTTATTTAATACTTCGTCCGTTCAATTTCTATTGTCCTAAAGTATATTTACACGGTTTTTTAAGTGATTGTCTTTTTGTTATAAATTGACATATTTGCCCTTAAGTGTATGGTAGAAATTAAAAGTAATAAATGAATGAAGAGTAAAAATGTAAAATTTGTATTTAAAAAAAGATATAGGACAATAGTTGTTGGACATCCCAACTAGGAAAGTAGGATATTAGTTTGTGGACGGAGGGAGTATATCATGTGTTGAGGTAAATAAAAATACTATTATTTTTTTTTTTATTTTTATTTTATATATGTTCATCATTTAATATATCATGTCTTAGAGGTAAATAAAAATACTATTATTTTTTTTTATATTTTTATTTTGTATATGTTCATCGAGAATATTAACATAATGCTGATTTTCCAACTATCCCGTTATAATTGGATATAACATAATGTTAATAAATATGTTTTTTACCTTCTAAACTTCACTATTGAACAAATTGTCAATATAATTTAAAAACAAAATGGTTTGTTTAGATAGGAATTTTTGGAGATTTTTGAAAATTTGGAAGTTTGAAAAAAAAAAAAAAAAAAAAAACTGGTATTTGATTTGATGTTTTGTGAGAGAAAAAATGTATTTGATGTAATATTTTTTTAAAAAAATAAATAGTATCAAATGAGTAAAAATATACTGTGTAAACAGAACCTATATCTACTAGTATTTATTTACAGTAACATATCATTTTAAAAAAATAAATAAAACAGTACATATCTATTTCAAGTAATTCTTAATTTATTATTTCAAAACAATCGTAAACTTCAAGCCACAAATTAACAAACTCTAAAATTTCATATAATTAATTGAATACAAAATATTAAGAACTATTCAATATAATCAAGACGATTCGATAAACGATTAAAAACGTTGTCCCACAAAAAAACTTTTATAGGTAAATAGCTTGCCCATATTTAATACTCCCTCCGTTCATTTATAATTGTCCTAAAATATATTTGCACGGTTTTTTAAATAATTGTCTTTTTGGTATGATTGACAAATTTATCCTTTATGATAAGGAAGAGATTAAAAGTGATATTTAAATGAAAGGAAAAAAAAAACAATAGTTTTTGGACGAGGAAAATAGGGTATTAGGTTGTGGACGGAGAGAGTAGTATATATATGATATAATTAGGGTTTATTTACTATTTTTTTTTATTATTTTTTTTTATATATATATTTTTCTAAAAACATTATATCTAATACTCATTTTTTAAAAATATTAATCCAAACACTAGTCTACTTTTGAAATGATTTTAGAAAAATTCAAATTAATAAATTCTAATGGCCCATATTCAATGATTGGGCTCATTGGCCCAAAGTTTGAACTTTAGGCGTCAGGAAAGTTAAGTGGACGGTCCTGACCACTTCTATAATAATAATAATAATTTAAAATTTATTAAAAAATAAAAGTTAAAATGGTAAAAGAAAATGGTAAAAGAAAAAGGGAATGAGAATCAACTATATATGTGTGTTCACTGTGTTTGTTTGGGGATTGGATTTTAAATTGACTGCTTATCCCATTTTTTCTCTCCAAAAATATCAAATTAAATACATATTTTTTATTTTTTGTATTATACTAAAAATCAATTTTACATTCAAAACATCACATCAACACCTATTTATATCACATAATACAACTATTCAAATTCAAAATTTTTACTATTCAAATCTCAACTCAAAATCCAAAGCCCCAAACAAACACACCATTGATATATATGTAGACACTAAAAATATATGTCTAAAATCAATTAAATATCATGTATTTTGGAAGAAAATAAAATTCCAATAAAATAAATATATGGTATTTAATTATGCACATATGTTAATTTTTGTACAATAAATGTCAACCATTAATGCAAAATCTGCTTAAAATGGAAGATATCGTACAAATATTACGTGCATAAATAGAGCTATAGTAAATTTGGCGGCAAAATAAATTAATCTTGTCAATAAATGAAGTATATAAATTAATATCTTCCAAACAAGGCAATGATATAAAGATTTTGTCAATAAAGGAAGTATATAAATTAATATCTTCCAAAAAAGACAATGATATAAAGATTTTGGCGAAAAAGGAAGGTGCATAATCAAATCCGTCAAAAAATGGAAAACGGCATCCGATGAAAAAGGAAAGATTATAAAATCTTTCCATCCACGTGGCACTATCCGAAAAGGAAGCCAAGGCCACCCTCCCCTATAAATAGGAGCCTTGGCCAATTCATTTACACACCGAAGTTCATTTGAAGACTCGCGCAAGGGTAAGTCTCTCTAGACTCTCTGCAATGTTCTTCATTGTTCTTCGTGTCCTTCGAAGCGTTCTTCGTCGAAAAGTCACCGATTTGGACAAATGATCCAATATTGGTTGACGAATCGATGAAGTTAATGTTCTTCGTCGTATGTCCGAGCCGGAGGAAGGATCAAATCTCTCAAAGCCATCGAGGAATCCATCAAAGCCAAGGAAGAACCTCCAAAGTCGCTCCCAAAGCTTGAAGATGTTCGTCGCGTTCTTCATAAAAGGCGCAAACCAGACCCTCTTCGATCCAAAAGTCAAAGGGACACGCCGCCAAAAGCGTTATGGAGCACCAAATCCCTCCCTCAAAGATCAAATTCCGTCGGATCATCCAAAGGAGGCATCAATCCAAAGTCGACGATCAAAATCGCCAACACGGATATCAAAGTTTCCTAAAAACCGACGAAGTCAAACCGAAGACCAAAATCCCTTCGGATCAAAGAAGCCACCCAAATCCAAATTGGAAAAATGGATTGACCCGGAGAGAGAATCAAAGGATCCGAATAGAGAATATGACCCGCATTAAAATTAAATTAAATGTAATTTGTACAAATTTTGTGTTTATAAAAATATAACACAATTTTTTTTGTCTACAATATATTTTGTTAAGTATTTTGATTTTATTTTATTTTATTTTTTTTGTTTTGGTTACATGAGGTAGGATAGAACAATTATTTACAAATCAATTCGATCGCAATAATATACGTTTAAGACGACCAAGCCATGTACTTGCACTAATAATTTCAGATAAAATTTACATAATAAATGAATCAATATATTTATAAAAATGTAAGTCAAAACTATCGTACAATTCAGCAAAGTGATAAACAAATTAAGTCTAATTAGAACTTGAATTTGACCACATTTTTCATCAAACATATAAATCAATCAATATAGTAATTTCTTAACTCATAGCAAGTGAATATTTACATTAAATATATTCATTTATTTACAATCAATTTGTTAATTTTTAATTAATACCGTATAATTGTATTTTAAGCAATATATTACTACTACACATTTATCACATATACACTATTAATATTTTTTAATCGGATATAAATCATCATTATATGAAATTAATTTACATAACACAACGGGTTTGTTCATTTTGTGTTTTTGAATTAATGTATTTTTTTTACGCTAAGTATGAAAAATTATGTTTGCAATATAAAAAATAATATTTTATGCTGAATTATTTTTTTGTGAATTAATAAAATGTGTTAATATGCGCGCACACATATATATATATTATTTTTTATAATATTTATAAAGAATTGTGTGGAAAAAAAATATTAGGTGACCAAATCCAAAAGATATATACAAATACTTTATTCTTTCTAAAAGAGTTGTCTTGATATTCTATTTTCGTCAATCTTAAAAAAATTGTCTTGTTTTTCTTAAAACAATTGTCCTATTTTCTTATTTAGTAACCATGGTCTCCATTTTATAACAAAATTATTCATATTTTTTCAAACTATCCCTAATTATTATTAAAAAAAGTAATGGAATTTTAATCTTTTATATTTTACTTTATACTTACTTTCAATTTAATAACTCCCTCCGTCTGTACTATCTACCTAACATTATCAATACCCTTTTAATTTACAATATATTACACAAATGTCATTACATTTATATCATATAATACTAATAAGGGTAATTTAGCCTTTTTTACGTTTATTTATACTACAATCTACTAATATAATGCTAATATTTATAAAACTTCGTGTAAAAAGTAAATAAATAGATAGATATAGAAGGGAGAGAATATTATTATTTAATTCTCGTGTCAATACCCAACATGATAGGAAGTATAATATTTGAATCGACGATAAATAACAATAATACATACAATTATATTTAGTATTATCGATCTTAACACAAAAGTTGTATTAATACAATATACATTAAATAAATATAAAAGTCAATAGTGTAACCATCCCCTTCTTGATCTACTTAAAAAAAAATTAAGGGACTAAGTACAAAATGGACTAAGGTACTAAATGAGAAGAGATAAGTCAATTACTCTTCTTAAAAACTCCCCCAAAAACCATTTTTACTTTACAATTACACCAACTAAAATGTCATTAATTAATTAATTAATTTAAATATTTTCCAAAATAATAATAATAAATTAGTTGACGATGGAGGCATCGACCTACAGGGCCGGGAACCACGCCAGGAGATCTCCGGCCACGCGCCGCCGCGTGCGATCCACTCTCTCGTCGGAAACCAGCGGCGCACGGCAAAGAGGGCAATCGAACTTTAGCCGCTCCAGCCACCCTTCAAAGCAATCCTTGTGGAACACGTGGCAGCACGCTAACTTGCGCACGTACTCCCCGTCGCCCATCCGGTTCAGGCACACCACGCAAACCGCTTCCGGTCCGGCGCCGGTCCGGTTCGGATACGAACACGCCCGATTCAGATTCAATTGCTCGCAGAGCAAGACGACGCCGGCCAGTCCCCGACCGGCCGCGACGACGTCGTATGGAGACTCTGCTACGTCGTAACTGTAATTGAAATTAGGGCACCGGTGGAAAAAGAGCCGCCGGAATGCCTGGAGAAGAAGCGACCGGAGATTACGTACGGCTTTGGCCAGTAGCACCGCCGTGATTATGACGACGGATTCCGATGACACGTCGGAAAATTGATTCTGCAACCCCATTTTTGTACGGTTTTGAGCTCAAGAAAGTTCATGCAGATCGACGGAGGAGATGAATGAGATCAGTGCTGTGTGTGTTGATATATATATATAGAGAGCAGTATATGCTATTTTGGGTCATTGGGCCTGTGTGAATTGGGCCCATAGTGGTTGGACTGAGAAGTTTGTAGGACCTGGAGTTCAAGTCCCTTTGCGAATCTTTATTATAATTAACGGCTTGGATTTGTTTGGGATCACCGGTTACAGGACTTGGTATGAATATGTGGTCCAGTTGCCGGCTGGCTGCATATGTTTGTTAATATAATAAAATTTTATAATTAAAAGAAAATAATTGTTCTATTTGTTTGTTGATTTTTAATTCAATTTTTATTTTTATATTACATAAAAAAATAATTTTATAAAACATTATATTTACATCTATATATTTTATATATGCAGAAAAATTAGTAAATTACTAAAGTGGGAATTAAAAATGATTATAAGGGCTTTAATTTTAAACACCGACCATCTGACGAAAAAGATTTGGGAAGATCCTCAACACAAGTTGCAAATTAAGAAGTGATGTATGCAATAATTTCAAAATAATAATAGTATTACATATTAATTGTATGAAAATTTCCAAGCTACTTTAATGATTGAATTATTTAATAAAAAAATAAAAAATAAAGAAAAAGGCAATTTGTAGGGTTGAATTGATTTGATTGGAATAGGGTTTGTGTGGCCACTGCTTTAGGGAATTGTCATTGCCATTGCCAGCTGCTGAGGTGATAATAGTAAAGAAAGTAAAGAAAGTGTGCGTTTTTTTTTTTTTTTTTTTTTTTTTTTTACATTAAAATTCACTATCGTTACCCGAAAGTGTGCACTGAATAAATTTTCAACCGAATTTAAAACTCTGCAAATCAAACCTCATGATCACAAGTCCAACCCCTACACCATCAGATCATCCCTTACGGGACAAATGTGTGTATATTTGTGATCCACTTTTTTAAGGTACGGATCTATTTAGGGGTCACGGTCACCTCACCTTTATTATTATTATTATTATTATTATTATTATTTTAATAATAATAATAAATAAATAAATAAAAATGTAAATAAATGTTTTTGATGAATATTACTGTTGAGTTGAAAACGGAAAATCACCATATAAATAATTCATGTTATCGGCATTGGCCCTTTAAAACTGTATTGTACATTTTCATGAACCCCATAAACATGGGAGGACATCTCTACTTTGTGGAATTTTAGAGGTCGTTTTATGTCTCACACATTCATGTAATGAAGAAGAATAACAATATTCTCTTTGTTCCAATACAATAGTCTTGTTTATCAATTTTGTTCGTCCCAATAAAATAGTCTTATTTTAATAAATAACCATATCATCGTAAAACTATCCTTATATTTTTTTTATTACACAATTGCCATTACTTTTTACACTAATATACTCACAAAGACAAAAAAGTTTTTTATCTGTATTTTTTATCAATTACTAATATAATATCAATATTCCTTAAATTTCGTGGTCAACCCAATTAAAACTATAATTTTTGGACGGAGGAACTATGTCGTTTCTCTATATTATTTTTTATCACAAAAAATTCTAACCTAATAATGCCGATCATTTAAGGTATAAATAATAAATAAGGCAACCAACAAGGTTTGAATCCAATATGTAAATAAGTGAATTAAAAGTAATAAATAATTAAAAACACCTATATTTTAGATGTGTTTTTATACTCGTTATATTAAAAATAAATTTATTATTCAAATCATCACATCAATACTTATTATATAAAATTTACTATTTAAAAATCCAAATCTTCAAAAATCCAAATCTTCAAACAAGCGCACCCATATTGTCATCCAATATGAATGAGTAAGACTTGATTCATATTAATATAGTACAAATATAACAATAAACTAATAACAAGTGATAATAATTCACACAACACATATTATCGTTAATTTCTAACACATAAAATATGTTCATATAGCACACAAAATATAAATTATCAACACATACTTTCAACTAATACATCACATATTGTGTTATTGGGACTATATATATATATATACACATATACATATATCTTCTATAGGCTGATTAGAGGTATTTAAGTGTGTGTTTATTTGAAGGATTTGTGGGATTTATATTATTCAAACAAAATTTTTTTCCTAAAAACATCATATGAAATACTTATTTTTTTTATATATTATACTAAAAATCAATTTTACATTCAAAATATCACGTCAATACATATTTATATCACATCGTACAAATACAACTGTTCAAATTCAAATTTTTTACTATTCAAATCTCAATCCAAAATTCAAACCTTCAAACAAACACACCTAAATCACCACTTTTAAAATAGTAGGGTTGATTTTTCAAAATAGAAAATAGCAACTTATTCTCCATCACACCAATATATCTATCTTTCTAGAAGCATATACATCTACTAAAAATAGTTCATTTGGGTACAGCATAGGGTTTAACAAAAATAAATATTTTATTAAAAAAGTGATAGGTAGTTGGAAATATTTTTGGAAATTTAGTAAGAAATGAAAGTAAATGAAGAGAAATAATATAATAAAATTAGTTGTATTTTTTTGTAAATAAATGTTGAATGAAGAATAATAATTAAAAATGTTGATTTATTGACTTTGCCAAAATTAATAATGTGATAAATTTAGCGAATAAATTAAAAGAAAAATAAAAATAAATTTGAGGAACGGATAAAGTATAATTTATAAATGAGTAGTATATGATGTATGCAAGTAGTCTATGATGTATGCATGTATGTAGGGTAAAACCCTAAGATTGACCAACTATATTTTGATGATCCATCGAAATAATTGGCACACAAATAAAATCTAAAATAACGCCATACTATTTTTAACAAAAATATTATATAAAATATACAAATTCAACATACAAAATTAAATAAAAACATATTTAAAAAATAAACATGATCTTAATTTTCCTTTACAAAACCTAGGTATACTTCATAATATCACATAATTATAGATCATTGTTACCATGCTAGAATTATACTAATTCAACATATAGTACATTTAATGCTGACAGACAATAACGTTATAAATAGACATTTTTATATTTCCTTAACAATCTATTTTTTTATTTTGATTCGTCGTAGAACAAAATTATCTATTTTTTTTTAATAACTTTATTTTTTTACTAAGATTAAAAATACCTTTACAATTTAAAATATATAACATAAATGTCATTATCTTTATATCACACAATACTAATGAGGTTATTTTAGTCTTTTATATTTTATTCATACCATACCTCAATATAATAATAATATTCCTAAAACTATGTAAAAAACAAACAAATACATATTTATGACATTTATGAAACGAATAGAGTAATACAAATACAATATATAAACTAAAACACACATGATATAATTTCACACTATACATTCCATAATTAATTTCAATCTATAAAACATGGCAACAGATCATGTGCTGATACGGCCAAGTCAAACATGATGTTGATTTGACCGACATATGTTATATGAGTGACCAACATAGGTTTATATATATATGACAGTATATATCATGGGTTATATGATAGCTTAGCTGAATTATAAAATAATATTCCCTCCCGTCCCTTAGTAATCTATTCATTTTTCCATTTTTGTCTGTCCCAAGTATCAATTTTCTTTTTTTAGTAATTGTACTATATATCTAACATTATAAATACCCTTACAACTTACAGTATATTACACAAATATCATTGCATTTATATCACACAATACCAATAAAATTATTTTAATTATGCTATATTGTAAATATGTTAGAGATATGTATAAATATTGTTGATTATCCTTGTAGCATAGATCGGTAAACGATAACCCAACGCACATCAAGTATACTATATACCTAGAGCTGTTAACGATCCGAGCCGAGCTAAATTTTAAGTGTTCGTTAACGTTCGCGAATAAAGATCGTGTTCGTTCGTTAAGCTTTCGAGCTCGTTCGTAGTGTTCGAGCTCGGCTTGTTAAAAATTTTTGTTGATTGAGCTCGTGTTCGTGTTCAACTCATTTAGGCTCGATTAAGCTCGTTCGTGTCCGTTCAATCTCGTTTCTCTTATTTTTTAAATTTATATAGAAATTATAAAGAAAATTTAAATTATTTTATTTATTTATAAATTATAATTTTATATGTATATATAATATTTATAATAAATATATTATTTAAACGAACATTCGCGAACAAAGCTCGGGCTCATTCGTTAATCAAACGAGTCTGTTTATATTGTTCGGCTTGGCTCGTTAACGTTCGCAAACAAGCTTTAACGGAGCCGAATCGAGCCAAACCGAGCCGAGTTCACAAACGGCTCGGTTCGTTTAACAGCTTTATATATACCCAACAAAAATGTGGTCATTATTATTTAGTTAGCAAAGGAATTAAAAGGAAATCCAATTCGAATCCTATAAGGCAATCAATCGTACGTACTCTGGTAGAACAAATGCATTACGATACGCCAAGAAATACACGACTGGAGTTTACTTCATTGCTGTCCTAAACTGTTCCTCAAGCTGTTTTGAAATATGTTTCTGAAACATGTCAAAGCTAAACTCTCATACGAATTTGAAACTAATAATAATAATAATAAAAAGAACTGATAAGCACTGCGTACCTTTGATGAAGACAGAGATTTAGAGGAACGAAAACACGCTCTGAAACCCAAGAAATGATTTCTCCTTCTGACCTTTTTCCGCCATTGTCAGCGAGCAAAGCTCATCTTTCTGTGATCGTGGGGACATCTGATTAATGGCATTCCTTCCACCAAAGATTAAAGAATCCTCATTTTCATTCTTCGCCATTGCAGAATGGTTATTGACTACCGGGAAGTTTCTTGGCCTTTTTCTTATATGATCAAGAATTGTGATCCCTTCAGTCACCATTCCTGATTCAGCATTCTGATGCTGTGTAGTGATTTCTGTGCCATCTCCATCCCACGTTACTGAACATTGAGTTAAAATGTTCAAAACAGAGAGAGATCCATTAAGTGTGTATTGTGCATCAATATCTCACCTGTTTCCCGGAGATAAGAGCTAATTGAACTGTCGGGCATATCAGCTGGATAATTTTCGTCGAGAATGTGTATTTCTTGAACTGATTTTCTAACTTCATGACTTTCTCTTGAAGTAATACTGCTCTTTTCTACTTGGAAAATCTCACTGCCATTATCAAGTTCAAGATGCATCTCACGAGTGCGCTTTCGGATGAGTGTGAAAACCTCCATTGATGGAGAAGATATGTCGTTGGTCAGGGGCAATGAGGGTAAACTTTTAGCCTTCTTCCGAATATGATCAAATACTGTCCTTTCAGTGATAATCTTGCAATCATCATCTTCAGCTTCAACAGGTTGTCCTCAACAATAGAAAAAAGAAACTGTGTCGGCAAGGGGGATATAGAACAAGATTAACATGACCTGACAATAAAGATCATTACCATCTTCCTCAAATTCTTCATCTAAGAGTTTGAAGCTTGGCCTGAGCATGAAAATAAGAAATCAAAATGCATGAGAAATCACAATTTTCTCCAATATATTCACTGAATTCATAGTAAAGTCACCAGAATAAAGATAAAGTTAGATAGTTATACATGGCTGAGTTCTCTATGGATTCATTGAAGAAGTCAGAACCTTTGGAGGTAACCAGAGAAGTACTAGAATCAATGTTATCCTTTGTGATGTTAGCACCCATGGGAGTAAAGGAGGGTTCTTTGGGTCTATATTTCTGGATGAAATTTAATTCTGCTGGTGGTGTTATAATAACCTTTTGATGGAGATCAATGCCAACTGCAAAACATCAAACACAAACTAGATGCAAACTTGTTCAGTGCTAAAAGAATAAAGGAATGTAATGGTTGTAAACCAAGAAAAGAGTTACTGTGCTCTTCGTGTATCAAATGCGCCTTGATTGTTAGCTTTCCTTGCTGAGGGGCTGAAAACAACACTGTTGCATGATAAGGGCTGTAAGAAAATTAATTATGTTAGTCACTGAAGATTTGTACAATGCTCGAACACCACACATCTATATCATGAGGCGAGCGTGTCAAAATCGAAAATAAAAAAACAGGTTTCCTCATTTGTCGAATGTAAACACGGATTTGAGATGTAGTTTACATACCTTGAGAAATCCTCCACTCTGAAACAAAAGATAAAAAGGAGTGTTTAGTAATAAAAAACCAGAATATGAATAAAATTTGATCAAGCCTATTAAGAAGCTGATGCAAAGTAGAATACCTTATCTTTTCATAAAACAAAATCTTGTTATCTTCCTCTACACCAACCATCTGTGGAAGAACATCAATCATGTAACTTTGCAACGGGAAAGGCCCTGAAACTCAAAGTACGAAACCATTCATGTTTTTGGCATACCAAATCAGCATAATGTCTTCTAGTTGATTGCAGTGGCTGTGATAGCCTGGTTAATGTAATGAGTAGCTTCGACTTCCCTATTCTTTTGCCTTCAGTTTCTTCCACTGTCATATCAACCTTGGGGGGGAGGGACAACAATGAGTCCTTAATGTGATTACCAAAGGGATACTTTCTACCAGTCACTAACTCTATCTTTCTTGGATCAGCCTCGAGGAGTGTCTGAAATGATGTCACTCCCATTGAATGCAGTGCCTAATGTAATTCTCCAGGTGTAAAAACAAGAAACGAGTTGTTTAGTAGACGACATAGTTGGATCTGAGAATAGATGAAAATTCAAGTACCGTACCTTTGCAGTGACCATTCCAATGCCAGGTAATTGTTTCAGCAAGTATGGGCTATCATCCCATAATTTTTGGTGCAAACATTTGGCGAGCACCGTTGAATTCAATGTCCCTTTGTAGAATTTTCTGTACAGAAAGTACTCTTTCATGCACTTAGCAATCCTAGATCCATTTGAGCAAATAGAATTCATGTCCTGCAGCACATGGCACAGAATCCAGGATGAGTAGGATAACTAACACCCGAACCATACTATAGACTTTTGAGATGATGAAACCTGGCTCATAGACATGTCTCGCACTAAAGGGGCACCAGTCAAGCAGTCATTCACGAGAATAAATATTTTATGCTCTCTTGTTTGAATGCGTCTTCTTCGCTTTCCGTTGTCATCAAGGATGTGAAAGCGAAGTCGGCCTTCTTTATCAATGTTGATGTCATTAAGAAACTTCTTCTCATTCCTTCTCAGTTGTATCCCTTCATTTGTAGAAATCATGATGTAAATTATCCAACTTTCAGCTTAAAAGTGAAACTAAATTAGCCTGCATACACACATGAAATTTCTTCTGCCAAACATATTATATGAAGTGCGTCTTCAATGCTGCAGTTTTCAGGTGCCTGTATAATGTGCCTCATTGTGTTAAACTTTAGATAGTATTTTGTCATCAATTCTCCAGGTGCTGAAAACAAGTAAAGATAAACATGGTCACAAAGTGTTCTAATAAAAAAGTTTGGACAGCATTTGATGATGTACCGAGTGGCTTTAGGAGGAAACCATCTTCATCAGTCCATATCATCTGATATTGTGACAATTCATTAACTTTCTTGACACATATTTCTGCAGATTGTAAGGACTTAAGGTCAGGAAATAATATTTAAGAATGAATATATGTTGTACTTGACCAAATTACCTTGCAAGTGCCTCTCTATCTGGTCACCGCGCAGACCTTTTGCAATTGGGTAACTCTCAGGATTCTGATTTAGCATAAGAATGCTCAGAAAAGCAATCTAATAAAATTCCAAAGGTGTTGCTTATATTGAGATTTAAAAGAAAACATGCCTTTTTCATTCTCACATACAAATATGAACATTTCATCCATTCAATTGCCCTTGTGATATCAGAAACAGTTGATTGAACTATCTCTGCAGTCAGGTGTTCAGTTACACATGGAAGCAACCTGATGAGAGCAAACAGGAAAACAGTCAAAGCAGGTCCTGTGTGGTGTTTAAAGTGATAAGAGCAAAAGAAACTGTTGAACAGCAGAGTGAACATACTGTGATTCCACCATCTCACATCCATTTAATAAATTCTCATACAAATGGACCTGGGAATAAGATTACATTGGTCATGAACAACCAATTCACCGCACACAATCCTTAAAACTGGGAGGAAGTGTATACAGTTTCTTTTCGAGTCATAATAATGACCATTCCTGTGTCATCAAATGGAGGACGACCTGCTCTTCCACACATCTACATAAAACAGAGTATCTCATATCAATTTAAGAGGCACTTGGCTGTCAAAATCATACTTGTTTCAATGGTGGTGGACGTATGTGCTATAAGTTGTGAGTTTAGAAAACGATGTGTTTAATATTTAGAGAATGATTAGTAAAATAGTCAAGCACCTGCAATACCATGGATCGCTCATATTCCATGTAGACCCCTTTTTCCTTGTTGCTAGAACAAGATCACGAAAATCAGAGTTGTTTCTCTCAAATTCTAAGATGTTAAGAACTCTAAGCTCCAATGAAATAAAAAAGTTACTTGGAGAAGTAGATTTTTCTCCATCTATTTGCCATCTATCATTGATCAATAATTTCTCATGGTAAGCATAAGATAATTAAGCCTATCTACTAGCAAGTGCTATTGCATATAATGTATTCAATGGCTTACAAATACTGTGTTGATTTGATGACAACAGTATGTGCTGGTAGGTTGATTCCATGGGCCAAAGTATTCGTGGTGCACAAAATCTGAAGATCGCCATTTAGAAATAGGCCCTCAACCAGATTACGATCTTTCAAAGGAAGTCCACCATTGTGATATCCAACTGCACAAGAAAAAAGTTAGCTTGATTAGAACACACATGTACATCCTATAAAACGGTTTCCAAAGACAAAAGACAATATAGAGCAAAACCAAGAATCGCATACCACCATAAGGTATGTAAGATTGCATTTGTTTGTCACTACATGATAACGATGCCTCTCTCAATCTATCTTGTTGTTCTCTGCTTTTTATAAAAGGACTTGAATGACCAAAGGTCATTGCTGTTTGAGAGAGTCGTTGTGCTGCTTCTTGTGCACCTTTTCTGGTAGAGCAAAAAATCAGGGCAGATTTTCCTCCAGAAAATTGCATGAGAAGATCTGTAGACTCAGGGGTTCAGTTTAAGCATCACTGTGATTATCAAAGTGCAGGTGAGTTCTTCAGGCTTACCAAACACATAGTTCTGAAGACGCTGAATAATCAAAAACAAATGTATTATCAGGTTATCTTAAACACTTCTGATCTCTAGTAGTTAGAAACCTTAGTGAGATATATATCAACATTCACCCAGAAACCTTTCTGGATTCTTACACATACCTTTTCAAATAAAAAATCATTTTTTGCAGGTGTATACCCTGCAAACAAGTAAAATTTTTGCTTATTCAATATTGGAATGGAAAATAGTTCAATGATCCAATGGTTGTAGCCAGTCTACAGGAAATAGCTTAAATATGTTCTTTCTCTTCTGGTCTTAATTAAATACTTGTAAGTATGGAACTAAAGTTAGGATGGAGAACACAGACCTAAAACTTTGGTGGTCAACTTTACAGGTCTCATTTCTTCACCAAATCTACAAACAGAACAGCCTCGTAGGATTTCATAACTTGCTAAAAGATCAATGAAGAGACTCTCTTGTGTAATAGTTAGAAGTACCTTTTAATTCCTTGAGGTGGAGCCATAAGCCACTCCGCTGTAAAAGGAGAACTGCTGTTAAAAGATACATTATTCCATGCAGAAAGATCAGAAATAAAACTGTTTCTGATTGCATAGCTTGTAGATAACCTAGGTCACTGATATTTGGGATTGTAGCAGAAACAGCTAGAAAACGAACTAGGGATAATGGACTTGATTGCATTTCAGGGTTACGAGCAAGCATTTTAATTCTGCTGATTATTGCTTCTAGTGCAGCTCCACGAGGATCATTCAGTAAATGGACTTCATCAATAAGCACAAGTGCTATATCACTGAAAAAGCTCAAACCTCCATCTTTTATCCGATAACGAGTCACAGCATCAAATTTCTGTGAGAGGGTAGATTAGGTCTAAGCTAGTATCAGGGAATTTAAATATAAGAAATAAATCTAGACAATGACAAACCTCAGGTGTAGTAAGAATGGTGTCAGCATCTTGTATATTCTTTACACTATAGTACTCATTGTCACCTGTCAGTTCAAGGCAATTTATCCCCAGTGGCCCAAGCTTCTGGTTCCAATCCCGGAGCTTCTCTTGTACAAGGGCCTTTGATGGGGCTATGTAGATCTTCATTATAATACATTAAACTGGTAAGTAATTTCAGAAACAGAGAATAAAAGGTTGGACTTGAATTCGTAGCATATCCTCTAAGGTTAGAACCATAAGCTTTTGCAACAGGTAAAAGACAGGATTTGCAATTATGGCATCCATTGAAAAAGGAATAACATAGTGGTTATCATGTTCTTCTATAATTCAAGAACTTAGCTGAGGCATCTCCCACTACCATGACACAAATATCACATTTTTTGAGGCTGAAGACTTCTTCGGAGATTAATAGAAGAAAAAACACTGTCATCACACTTGAGTAGAATATAATCTCTCCGGATGCAACTAACACATAACTTTACATTAAATAATATCATCGGAGACCTACAGTTTTAAGGGTCCCTTTATGATGAATGAACTTCCCATCACAGGTGATGAACTTGGAGAGAAGTCTCATTATGCACAACTCAAAAAGTACAGTTTTTCCACTTCCAGTTGGTGCTGAAATGACCATGTTTACATCTGAAAGGTAGCATGTGGAGAAGCACTCACTTTGCAATGAGTTGAAATATCTGGCCAGATGATAGAAGGCTTAACATTAAACCTTTTCATGGAAGTCACAGGAGCAATCACAAATACTAAAAAGACATTACTAACGGTTGATAAATTTTATCCATCAACCATCTACTTGAAACATTGAAAGAATGATCTAATATAGGCTTACCTGAAACTAAATGCTGAGCGAAAATGAATAGGCAAGTCAGACACTGCCTTCAATGCATAAGGATCCATGGGCAAATTCAAGATAAATTGAAAGTGAACAAAGTTCCCTGGATGCACTAAAGATCAAATTTAGCATAGGAAATAGTGTTTGCAACAAGTCCAAGCAGAAGCAAGAAATGAATAAATAAATATGGCAAAGTGCATGCTAAAAGATATGCCCGGATTTTATCTTCGTTTATTTGGTTTCATCATATGCTAAAGGTCAGCACTGAATGTCAGAAACTCAATTAAGACCTTTCAAGATAAGTTCCTAATTTTCCGCAGTACTAAAATTACTTCCACCCAGTTCAAAAGAATCAGGATAGCAACACTTACACTGGAATAATGTGCAGAATTTAAGAAGTCCTTAAAGTAAATTTCATGGAGGAATCAAAACGAAATCTATTCCCTACTCCGCCACTACGTAATATATATCTCGTGGTCATCATTAATCAGGAAATCCCATCGCATTCAAACATTGATTAATTTTAACTCTCTAATTCAAATTATCAAATAAACTGCAGATTAGTCCTTGGATTTTACATCACATCCATTTCAAATTTTCAATCTCATAATTCATACTTCTACTCTCATTCAAACTACTCTAAACATTGAATCTCAGTCTCCACACTTCCGCCCTCTGCAACACCACAAACCAGCCTCAAAAATCCATCACAAAATACCTCTGCATCCTTCCGGGTCTAACAATTTTACTAAACATAAAACACAAATATATATACACGAAAACGTACATAATAGGACCTCGATTCACATTACTGCATTATTTATATCTTGGAGACGAAGCATATATTTGGAAATCAACAAACCTGATTACATCAATAAAAGAAATTTTCCGTTCATCTGCTAGGTGGCTTTGGCTCGGAGCTGATTTTGGTAGAATGAAGTCTAGGAGAAGGAGCTGTAGTGAAGGCGAAATACGACGGCGATGGTGAGAGTAAATGAAGATAGAGACGGTGGTGATCGGAGACGAAACAGAGAGGAGAGTGGCGCGAGGGTTGTGGTTTGTGGAATAACGGATAGAAGTATAGAACCCGCTATTTCTATTTTGAATTTAAAAAATAAAAATGAAAATTCAGAAACGAGAAGGTACAACAAATTAACGCAGAAGACACGAATAGGAAAAGTACAATCTGAAGAAGCAGCCGGAGCGGTTCGTTTTCCGAGGATTTGTCTGATTATTTTGGGTGTGATTATTTGTGGAATTTTTTATTTTGTATTTTGATTTTGAATAGTAAAAAGTTAAATTAAAATAATTTTTGAAGTGATACAAATATATATATCGATGTGATATTTTGAATATAAAATTTAATTTTAATATAATTTAATAAATAAAAACTAATAAAATTTTAAAAAAATTAAAATAGTAAAATCATCAATCAAATTCCACAAGTAAATACTCCTATGTATTCAAATTGTCCATTGGTGGATTTGCCCTGGACCGGGCCATTTTAAACCAGCTCAAGAATGAACCGGCTACTAAATATGTATAGTTTTCTACTTAAAGGTGTGTTTGTTTGGGGGTTTGGATTTTGAGTTGAGATTTGAATAGTAAAAATTTTGAATTTGAATAGTTGTACGATGTGATATAAATAGGTGTTGATGTGATGTTTTGAATGTAAAATTAATTTTTAGTATAATATAAAAAATAAAAAATAGGTGTTTGATTTGATTTTTTGGGGGAAAAAAAATTGGATGAATAGTAAGATTTTGCACAAATCTTACAAACGAACACACCCTTAGATTCAAATCAAATATTTTCCCCATTTCATAATAAAGTATTCATTTTCTCATTTTAGTTCGTCTCATAACAAAGTATTCATTTCCTTTTTCAGTAACCGTACTGTTTGTCTAGCATTACAAATACCCTTACAACTTACAATATATTACACAAATGTCATTACTTTTATATCAAACCATACTAAGGTTATTTTAGTCATTTCTACTTTATTCATACTACATTCCAATAAAATACTAATATTTTTAAAATTACGTGCAAAAAACAAATAGATACTTAGTTATAATACGGATGAAATAGTATTATATTGGTTAATGTAAGTAAGCAAGATAATTTAACATTTTTTGCCCTTGAAAAGGACAAATGTTTACTTGTGAGGTTTTGATTTTGAATAGTAAAATTTTTAATTAAAATAATTGTTTGATGTGATATAAATATGTATTGATGTAATATTTTGAATGTAAAATTAGATTTTAGTTTAATTAAATAAATAAAAATCAGATGTTTGATTTGATATTTTTTAAGAAAAAAGAAAGTTGAAATTGTAAAATCATGAGTAAAATCTTACAAATAAAAGTAATGATTTTTGTAATTGGTGTAAAAAGAATATTTTGATAACCATATTAAATGAATATTTTTTAGTTAGACAAACAAAAATAGTAAATAAAAAAAAAACTTTAAATTAGAACAGAAGAAATATAATTCTTTGATAATTATTGTATTGTTTTAAATATTAGAAATTTTAATTCAATAAAGTATATATTGAATACACTACTTTAAATAAAAATAAAGTTTATACAGTATTTTAAATATAAATAAAAAATGTTGTATAATGGTATAAGGATTAAAATAGTTTTGAATTGTAAAACTATATTTAATAAGAATAACGAATGCTCATTGAAATAGATATTACGATATTTTAAAATAATTAATATTTAGGGTTATATTTACTAAATAAAAAAATATGTATTTATTATTCATACTATAAAATATGTATATCATTAGATGACAATACAAAATAAAATTGTGATTCTAATTTATTCATAATTTTTACAAAAATATAATCATAAATTTGAAAAACAAATTCACATAAAGTTAAATATTCATTGAAAAAATCATAATAAATTATTTAAATGAATATAAAATATAATGTTTTATGCCAAAGAGGCGAAAAAATCAAATGAAAAAACTAACAAATATTAAGAAAAAATCAAACGAAAGTTAGCTGTAAATATTACATCAAATTTGTATGCAGATATATATCAACTTTTTATGCAAATGAAAAAAATAAAAATAAAATATACGTATTATATTTGGACTGTGAGTTTTGAATTTGGTTCATTACCTTCTAACCATATATGTAACTATATTTAATAATTCAAATTCAATTCTCTCATGCTAAATATGAATTGTTCATTTGACCTATTTAATTTTAACCATTGATCTTTTTAATATATATATATCTCATTTAATCTTCTGTATCTTATTTGTCAAATGAGTATTTTATATTCTATTTTGTGCATGAAATTTTTTCTTTCTTGGACAATTATGATTTTTTGTAGGTTAAGTTCATTTTTTTTCGTTCGATCTGATTCTTGTGGTAGTTTTCAATTGTAGTAATCTTCCAACAAGTTTATTTGGTTTTGATTCAAGATATTTAATGAGCTTTTCTTGAGTTGAATTTTTGTCGAATACAATATTTGTCTGAGATCTAATTGGCTAAAATTGAGTGTTTTAGATGTTGAAAAAATAAAATAAAATAAATTGAGCATTTTATAAATGGCCTAGTGAGTCTTAGACTTGATCCATCATGTTTCAAACAATACCAATAACTACACTTAATAATTCAAATTCATTTCTTGTACACCAAATCTGAATCGTTCATTTGACTCGTTTAATTTTAATTATTGGTTTTTTAGTATATATATTTCACTTCATCCATCAGTATCTTATCTGTCAACGTATTTTTTCTTTTATGTTCTGATTCTTTCTCTTTCTATCTGATTCCAATAGTTATTTTCAATTGTAGTAATCTTTCAGTAAGTTTTTCATTTGGGATTCAAGAGTTTTGATGAGATTTTATTGAGTTGAATTTTTTGGCAAACATAATATTTGACTGAGATCTAGTTTATCTCAAATTAAGTGTTTTATTTAGAAATCATACATTTCTCGTGGCTCTGATACCGTTGAAGATACCAACGAATAAGAAATGAATATTAGAAAAAAATCATACATTCCCCGTGGCTCTGATACCATCAAAGCATTTTAATTGTACTAACTATTAGAAATGACTACAATAGACCTACACCACATGATATTTAATATGAAGAAAAATCAAAATTTCATTCTAGTAGATATAATGGTCAATCAGATTATGAATAGAATATTGATAGCAAATCAAAACATGAAATATTAAATACATTTTTTAAAAAAAAAGGGCATGACTAGACTTGCTTATAAACTTCAAAATGTAAATGAAAAGAAAGCTACTTGTTTAATTATTAAGATTTTACTAGTTAATTAAAATAATGGTGTGATAATGCAATTCTTTTTCAAAATAAATTTACAATTTTAGAACACAGAAGAGAAACTAAAGATAAATTAGGGAACATATCATCCAAATCAGATTCAACTGATTACTTAATAGTTATTATAAGCTGTATATTTTGTAGGAAATTCAATTGAAGAATTAAATTTATGAAAAGTATTTTCAACAAATTTAAAATTTCTAACATTATCAGATTTTAGATAGTATAAAGATATGTTTTAAAATTATGTATTAAGAAGACCTGATTGTAATGCTTCATTTTGAAAAAAAAAATAAAATTCGGGTATATTTGTTTGAAAGTTTGGATTTTGGATTTGAATTTTTTAAAATTTTGAAGTAAGAATTTTTAAGTTGTGTTTATTTGAGGATTTGAATTTTGTAATGATTATATTAGAAATTATTATTTTATTGAAAAAAAAATGTTGATGTGATAGTTTGAATTAAATAATATTTAAATATTATTAAAAAAAAAAATTTGTGAGTAATAATTAAAAGTAATATTTGATTTGATATATGTGAATTAAAATAAAAATTAATTTATGAGAAAAATGCCATTTTTTTTTTTTTTGTTTTTTTTTAATGTTGGTGGAGGTTTCTATTGTTGAATATTTTTTTTATTTTTTTTTATTTTTTGTTTTAAATCACGTTGGTAAGGTTTCTATTGTTGTTTTTTTTAAATATTTTTTTTATTTTTTTTGTTTCCGAAGTGAAATGCTTCATGTGTGTTTATTTTATGAAATAGTTGAAAATAAAAATTTTCTATGTGTGAGATATAGAAAATTGCATAGATAATATAAAAATAAAATTTTTCTTTTTGCTAGCGATGGATCTCCAACCACGGAGTAAGAGATGGAGAAAAAGAGAAGAGAGGAAGAGAAGGAGAGAGAACAACTGGCGATGTCGCTTCTTCTGCACCAAGCCAAGCCGACAGCGCTTCGATTTTGTGCCGTGGATTGAAAGGTCACTGCGTTGAAACTTTTTCGAAAGGAAGAGGAAAAGGCGTCAGAATTGGAAGGAAATACGTTGAATGGAGAGCTGTTGTATCTACTCTAGATAAGCGAAAATCCCGGAAACTAACACAGTCTTCATAAACCATGAATGATCTAATCGTCGGTAAAGAAAAATTGTGTACCAAACTATTTTATAATCATGATATGAATAACCTTTTATTGAAAAATTTATTGAAAAAGTTTTTGTTGAAAACGGAGAGCCTGGTTACTTTGTAAACAAATTTTTTGCTTACAAATTAATCATTTTTTTACTAACTAACTATCTATCCTTAAGTTTTTTTTACAAATACTCTATTTTACAATCACATTATTAATTTTATACCAAAAAAAATAAAATTATCTTTACCTATTTTTAACTCTCACTACAATTAAAACACTATTAGTATTTAAATTGTGCGCCAAAAATAAATGTATATATATATTTTTAAATAGATGGTGGAAGTATTTATTATTTATACAATAAAAATATGTATATTATTAGATGAAAGTACAAAATAAAAATTTGACTCTAATTTATTTAAAATTTTACAAAAATATAATTATAATTTGAAAAAAAAAGTCACATAAAGTTAATTTTTTTATTTAAAAGTCATAATAAATAAATATAAAATATAATGTTTTATACCGAGGTGACGTAGAAATCAAATTAAAAATAACGTAGAAATCAAATTAAAAATAACACTAAAGATTCAAAC